GAGTATATTGAATATATACACCCCCCATCCCCTACAATATATTATATTGTGACTAAAACAAAACTTCCCTCAAACTGTTTAGTTAAACTTTAAGTTGTGTTTAGTAATGCGTCTATATGCAATCAATAAATTAGAAGAAAAGCAAATCTAAATCAGATTTTGCGTTTTTATTATTTTTTTTAAATAACGCTTTTCCGTTATCTCTTTATAATTTTCCTATGCCTTTGATTACTTATTTCATTTATTCTATGCTGCGTATTTTCTGTTTGGAACATTTGTGTCTATTCATATCCTCTTCCTAATAAGTTCTCTTATTTTAGGGTATTTAATTTACGATAATATCAGCATCTGCCCGACATTATAATGTCCGCCAGAAAAAGGCGATGTCAAGTTTGTAACACGGCAACTGTAGCTTGACGTAACTAGACGTAAAAGCTCGCCGGACGTATATCTTTCTATCTATTTGTCCGGTTGGTCACGTGGTACGCTCGCCGGACTTATATATCCGTCGCTATTGGTCTGTTTAGTCACGTGTTGTATCGCCGGACAAATAGTGCTGAAGATATTCGTCCGGTCGCCGGACGTGTAGACACTGCCATAAAACAAACATTACACAAGCAAATATACATAATGGGAGACTTTAATCTAGATCTTTTACAAATAAAACTTAATAATACTACTAAATGCTTTCTAAATAAGCTCCTTCAATAAAACCTTTAATAAATAAGCCGACACTTGTAACACGACAAACCGCCACCCTAATCAATAACATCTTTACAAACAAGCCTAGAATTACAAACAAGCCTAGAAAAACCTTCTGGAAGCTATTTCATGTGGATATAACATTAATGCTTTTAAATTTGACTTTTTTGCTCATGAAACTGCTAAAATGTATGTAAATCTGCACAGTTGGTACCCTGTGTCTATAACTGTGCAAAACGTTTTGTGGCATCGTGCCCAAATTATAACTTAAGCAATCCTACCTATTGACCAGTTATCTAAAGAGGCAGCTGAAGACTGAAACAAACACTTTTAACAATACAGAGAAAATTTTAGTCGAAAATTTTATCTCATCAATTGCAACAAAGACTTATTAAACAGACTACTGTTGATTGACACATAAGAGGTTGTAGATCAAAGAAGCACAAAAAAACGTTAGTTTTTTCGAAAAAGACAGTCAATTTGATGATCTCAAATACTCATCTACTATTACCCCAAGCTGAAAGCAATAGTGAACAAAATATTACTGACGAAAACATAGAGTATGACAGTTTGAAAATAACAAACGAATAAATGATGAATATATTTTTTTCAAAATAAATTGTCCTTCGAAATATTAGGCCGGGTGAATAAAAACGAGCAATTGCTTTTACTCAGTAATTGGTCAGCTTTGCGTGAATAAAAACATTAGAAGTTTTGCTCAAATTTTTATTCAAGCAACTTACTTAGTAATTGTTCGGCATTACGTAAATAAAAACTTAGAAAAAATTGCTTTAGCTTTTATTCACGTAAAGCTAACCAATTAATGAGTAAAAGCAATTGCTCGTTTTTATTCACCCGGCCTATATATATATATATATATATATATATATATATATATATATATATATATATATATATATATATATATATATATATATATATATATATATATATATATATATATATATATATATATATATATATATATATATATATATATATATATATATATATATATATATATATATATATATATATATATATATATATATATATATATATATATATATATATATATATATATATATATATATATATATATATATATATATATATATATATATGTATATATATATATATATATATATATATATATATATATATATATTGTATATATATAAATTTTGATAAAATACTGTACTTAAAACTAAAAAATTAAAAAAAAAAAATCTAACAAATTTTTGTATGCGCATTTGTTATATTAAATACATAACCACTGTGCAGCGTTCATACTTACAATAAACTTGTTTTATTTTAAATAAATTGTCTTTTTAAATAAAAAAAAATCGTCCTTTTAAATTAAAATGAATCGTCCTTTTAAATTTGCTATACATTTTTTTCTCTTTTTTTAAACTATTTCGACGACGGAGCACTGCTTCTTTTTTCTTTTTTTTCTTTTTTTTAAATACATCTAGTATGAATGAGTTAATAGGCCGGGTGAATAAAAATGAGCAATTGCTTTTACTCAGTATTTGGTCAGCTTTACGTGAATAAAAACATTAGCAGTTTTGCACAAATTTTTATTCAAGTAAAATTAGGCAATTTACGTAAATAAAAACTTAGGGAAAATTTCTTTAGCTTTTACTCACGTAAAGCTGACCAATTACTAAGTAAAAGCAAATGCTCGTTTTTATTCACCCGGCCTATTGTGTTTTTCAAATTATCTTATTTTTATGGAGAACATTTGATACTAATTGGATTTATATATATTTGTGATATT